TCGTGAACTACTGTTTCTACGATGACACATCTAGCCGCGATTTCGGTTTCTTGATTTTGAACTTATATGAACAAAATCTTGAAGAATTTGTCAGGTTTGAAGGTAAAAACATAACAGAATCGTGTGCTCGAGAGATGATACGCCAAGTGCTTGAAGGCCTGCGAGCATTGCACTCCAGAGAACCTAGAATTCTTCACCGGGACTTAAAGCCAACTAATATTCTAGTCGACCTGAGAGGCAATTTACTGTTGTCGGATTTTGGTATAGGACGATTCTTCCCAGAAGAAGGTATTTTTATTAAATTTTTGTTGTTCAATTTTTGTTCTAGAACGTTCTGACGCGAACGTGACTGTCGCTGTTAGATACGTCCTTGACTTTTTAGTTCACGGACTAGGGACTATCACTTTTTATATCTGACTCTGTGGTGAAATGGTTGGATAGCGATAGTTTCTCATCACCCCCGAGTTTTGGATTTGATAAATCTTAAACTATTACTGAAGAGACAACAACTGAACGTTATCTCTTTTATATAATAAACAAAATACAAAAGAAAAAACAAATTGAAATATTTATTCATGGGGAATCCCCGAATTCAATATTATGTTCAGCTTGGATCGGATTAGATTTTGAAATTTTTGCAGTTCGGATCAGATCGGATTCGGATTTTCGATATACCCTCTGATTCAAAGACGCCAATCCGATCCGATGCAAACCGCTATAATGCATTATCACCCAGTGTATTATGAGATCAGTGAAAATCGACTGTAAAGTGATAACAAAATCATCACTTTTAGCAAGACAAGTAATGTTTCATCTAAAACTGTCAAAGTTGGGGGATTGTTGCTCAAATGTAGGTCAACTTTATTTACATTTTACAGGTGCAACAACATACAATACTTCTAGCGAAAGTGGATCGCACGGCTGGGTCGCATACGAATGTATTGATTGGGAAAAGTTGTTTTCAAACAAGATGCCGAGCCATTTGGATGAACCAATTCAACTCAAATGGAAAGAGCAATCAGATATCCAAGTGGCAGGCATGTTATTATTTTACATCCTAACAAAAGGGGAACATCCGTTTGGTCCGCCCATAAAGCAAATGCAATGTTTATACGAGGATAAAAAAGTTGGATTAGCAGACCTCAAAGATCCTGTGGTGAAAGACTTGCTCTTTCAGATGTTGACTCAAAAGATGGAAGAACGGCCATATGTTGAGCAAGCCTTGAAGCACCCTTACTTCCTCTCTCTCGATGAGCAAATGAGATTTGTTGAAGCCCTGGGGAATGAAAGCAAGATGAAGAACGGCAATGCTGTCTCCAAACAGCTGGACAGCCCTAAACGATCCAAACCTCGATGTTGGTTGCTACCAAATAATTGGAAAGACGAAATTGGTCCTGATGACCTTCGGATGTTATGTAGCGGAGGTAAAAAAACCCCAACAGATTATAATGGCCTTCGATACACACATTGCGTTCGACTTATACGAAACGCAATTCAGCACCGAGGCGACAAACTACGTCGATTGAAAAATAAGAAAGAGGGTACTTCTTCGATCGAGGAGTATTTTTTCCACTTGTTTCCTCACCTGCCTTTTGTTCTATATCAGATAATCAGAGAGAACCCCAGCTGGAAAAGACTCCCAGTCTTGGAAGAGCTTTTTCCTGTGATAAACCGTCGTTCAGTGTCTGAGTCTGATGCAGATTAAAGTATATATGCAGAGTATACTTCAGCCAGGTTAGTATATATGTACTTTCATTATAACGCTTGTCAAAAAAATTGGTCCCTTAAAATTTTTCGTTAAACCGTTGTAAATGCATCCCAAGGCATCCTACTCAAATTAACAGTGGAAAGCAGCCCTAAGTGAACTTGTTATGAAATTTCGACGGTTGCGTTTTTTTTGCATTTTGTAAATGGTTTTCAGTATTCCTTTGTCATTAGCACGGGATACCATTGCACTGAGGCGGTTTCCTGGAGGTTGGAAGAATTTTGTTCAGTATTTTTTTAAATGTATATTTTCCCATATAGAAACGTCGACGCGTTTGATGGCGTTTGTCGTGAAAATGTGTCAAATGTCGTGGTTGTCTGTACAGCTGTTGTGTGTGTATTTTATATTCATATAATTTTATATATTCATTTATGTGGAAATAGAGTAAGCTTGTAAACAGGGGAAATAATGCGCGCAAACAAACGCACGTCCAACCACGAAGAAGGAAAACCGCCTGTCCCACACGCTAACGCAAACGGATGGAAGAATAGGGGCAGTGTGGTTAGAGAGTTAACCGCACGCGTTGCGGGAAAAACATCATGGGACGTGCATAAATTGCGCAAAGGAAGTTGATGTGAAAATGGAATAACATCCCCTATAGCTTTAGTATAAATATAAGTAGAATTGTAAACTTTAAGTTAGTGTGTTAGGAGAGTTGTATTGTGTGGTGTGTTGTCACCGTAACGTCAGAGCGAGTGTGTCCTTCTTAAGCGTGTTGTCTTAAGAGTATTGTGTCATCGACGTGCACTATATAGTGTTTACCAAATATACCTGTACATAGAGTGTTAATAAAAGTTAAGAATACAGTCCCCGAGTTGTGGTATTCGTTGAATCTGGTGTCAGCAGCAGCGTAACTTGCAGAAAGGCGAAGTTACGCGACAGCGTTTTTAAAAGCTGTCGATTCATGCATGGGGAATAATTACCATCGATCTGTCCATCTGGGCTTTTAGCCATCAACAATAATCAATATAATCACATGTTTATGTACTGTATAAGTCTGTATTTATGTATAAATGAAATGTTCAAGTGTACAGTTTGCCAATAAATAATTTTAGAATATAACAACATTATAATATACATGGAAATAATAAACGTATGAATATTTGTTCGAGTATTTATTAAACTTCACCAGTGGACAGCGGAGGATCGTTTTTTTTCCCGACTTTTGCTGCGAATTTAGTTTTTTGATAAACGCAAATATGTAAATAGTTGCCGGTATGAATGCCTTTATTTAAACACACGTAATTCTTTTTTTGAACATCATCAAAGATCTCACGCTAATAATTCACATCAGCGTGAATAGCGTGATGATTATTGCACGTGTTTGTGCGTCAACGCCTTTGATATGTCAGTGACTTGTTCTGCATGTGAAATTGCTTTATTGAAACGAGCTTATTCTGTTGTGTATGTCATTTTGATTTTTGCACATCGCGTCTACGACCTGCACATCGTCTATTTTTCAACCTGCGCGGGTATTATGATTTCACTGAAGGCACAGCATTCGTCACTGATTTCGGGCAGTATAAGAGTATCTGTTTGTGTATTATAGACTTTTTATAGTACACTAATGCAAGTTGTAGGATATATCACCCTTAGTATCCACAAATTGAGATATTTTCTGGGCTATTTCATAACCCACGCGAGAATGCCATTAGCTAAGTATGCATGCATTCATGACTTAAAACAGTGAGGGGCTGTTTCGTTTACTGTTTAATTAAGCCGTCGAATATGTGATATGTTTTAGCCGGATCCTTATATGTGCGTATGATTTTTTTCTAATGTTTGGTATTCGCAAGTTCAAATTAGAGCTATGCAATTTCTCTATTACTAGCGCGGCCTTTTTCATGAAAAACAGCGAAGCGAAGATTATGCCGTTTTTCTGCGTAGGTATAAGAACATTCAGAACCCTTTTAACTTTAAAATTTGACTTGTAGACAGTCAAATTTTAGGCGCCTTTAAAGATATCGAATATCTTGTAATTTGAAAAAAAACAAATAAAGCGCTTGTAGTTTATTACAGTTCAAGCGAATTCACGTAAATTTGTGTCGAATAAGGTTGAGAACTGTTAAACGTTTTGGAGAAATTACTACAAGAGAAATTGCTAGCGTATATTTTTAATTGTCATCAAAAAAGGCATTTGCTTTCACTAAATTACTATTACTAATATTACAATGTACTAAAGTTCTTCAACACTACAGATCAATTTCTGAATCAGCCCAATCATTGAGTATATATAAGTAGGACAATGACAGTTGGAGGTGCGGGGATGCCTTCAACGAACAAGTATGTATCCCATTGCTTTGAGGTTTTTGGTTCCGTTGTCTGGTGTACATTGGGCAAGGTTACCTGCTGTGTTGAGGGAAAGTGAAGAACCACACCAGCTTATTCCATACGAAGTACCGCCTTCACCCCCAGACCCACGAATGAGTCAGGTGTCTTACAATCATTCTGCTCGTTTCCAACGATGCCCAACCTAATTCTTGCGTGGTGGTCAGGTCTGAGGTTAACATTAAATCCCTCTCTGTTGCAATTACGCTGTAAAGATGATCCTTGGATGAGCTGTTTCCATTGAGAGCGGCCAACTTGAGTTTGACGATAATTGCCGTCAGCGATCAGATCATACAAGGACGATGCTGGATGTGAGAAAGAGAAGGCTCTGAGTCGACCACCATATTTCATCGCGACACAAATTTCATCGAATGAAGTTTTCCAAAATGTTGATCCTTTGAATTCTAGGTTGTCAAAACCTCCGTTTTTTCCATCGTCATTGTCATTGAAAGTGTTCTTGTTCGTCCAATAACTGGAACTGTATCTGAAAGTACTCTGTAAAGGATTGAAAGAATCTCGTACGAAATGGTGCGATATAATCACTTGGAATGCAAGTGTACACGACAAACAGGATAACTTTTACCTGGCTTCCATCAATTTTCATCACCATCGTCCACCCACCACCAAAACAACCTGAGACTGACGACATCTGACAGTAGACGTTCATCACTTGATTTGAACCAACACTGATTTGATAAACACCACTTGCAGCTTTGCTGCTTCAATACAAAAGAATCTGTTCAACTATTAATATGCGAAACCTAAGCTTATAAAACTGCATAGAAAATATGTACAAATTTACATTTCGCAATGAGGTTGCTAGTTTTTGATAATGATAAGCGAAGGATAGCTGTTACCACCTTCAATATAGACGCTTCTCAAATTTCCAATTATCGTAACTCATACCTGTGACTCTTCAGTATTTCCTTGCATGATTGAAATTCTGCAATTTGGAAATGGAAACAACAAGTGAATTAACCATGATTAGAAAAAGTATTTTAAGACAAGGATCTGAATTTCCACCCGTATTGTTTTCTATTTCTTTTACAATATAATAAAAAAAAATTGTGAGGGATTTGGCAATTGCATGTTGGACATTCGCTAACCATGTAGTGCGTATAAAACAAATGAAAATCTAAAGGATTTTTGTGTGCGTGATTGTAATTCTTCAAGAACCAGTTTTGATAATATTTTAAACTCTTCCCAGTGTTTTATCTGTTATTTGATTCCACATTTCATATTGTGTTTTCGAAACATTTTTTAAAAAAATAGTTTGCAAAATGCCAGTTAAAATTGTTGACGTTTTTCACTGAAACACAAACTTTTCGTCTTAGCCAATCAGGAAGTTGCTGATTACCAGTCTACACTCGTTCGCATTTCGCGCATGCGCACAAGTACCATGACCATTGAACGTCCATGGTCCAAATTTAGGCGACTTCGGATTCCGCTATGTTCTCCCGGGTCCCGGGTGTAATTCCTAATTTCCGGGCGGAATTAGTACCCTCGAACGGTGCTCAGCACCGGCTCGGGGATAAACATGCATACCTTCGACAACAATTCTTACATGACATTGGATGCCAAATGTTTGATTTTTGCCGCTGTACGTATAGTTGTAGGAACGCGTGTGATTACCGACAGAGAACCATCCACTGGTTGAATTCGGATTAGATAAACTTGGTGTCGTTGGGCACTGACTGGGTTTAGGTTCTGACCAACTAACTGAAGTTTCTGTCGGACCCGGCAATACAATTTGTGAGTAAATTGTTCGCGGGCATGGACACTGACAGCCTAAGTGGGGGAAATATAGTCAAAATTATTGTGATAAGCAACTCATCTTCGTCATTTGAACGTCCTGAACTTATAACCCTCGTCCCGTTTTTAGCAACTTTTTAAAACTGCCAACTATTGAGGGATGTCATTTATATCCCCCCAATGTGCAATTTATAATATTAATAAAAATTTCGCACGAATTTATGAATTAGAGCTGCACAACTCAATCACTTACGGACGATATTCAAATTAACAAAACATTTAAATTCAACATTCAAACAACTACCTCTCATCAGGGCATTTTTGATACCACGGACAATGGGCCCTTTTCTCTGCCCTCGCAATACTGAATAAAAATGGGCTATAATTGTCCCTATTACTACATATGTTATACATATACATTACGACGTATATATGTATGTATATATATTATATTAATATATATATATATATATTATATATATATATAATATATATAAAGTAATTAAGTAAGACAATATTTTTGTTAGATACTAACATGCATAAAACATTTATTTTAATTAATGTGAGGTGGCTCAATCACTTACGGACGACATTCAATTTTACAAAACATTTGAATTCAACAATCTTGCCGTTGCGTTTGTACGAGTAAAGATAAGTAATCACGTGCTTGCCCAGCGAGAAATTTCCTGAAGAGCTGACACCAGGTGGATCAACCTGTCCTCTTTCATAATCAGAGCACGTAACGTCTGGGACTGTCCAATAAACCAACCCTTCGAATCCATTGGGTTTGGCATATGTGGTAAATTCACTAGTGCGGCCATCTTTACATTCACATTTTCCTGGGGAAACAGAAAGTTTCAGTAAACTTTGATAGTAAAAGTGAATATACAATTTTGAGCAAGTTGGTTTATAGTATTAACTCGTCATTTCATTATAATGTCTCGTTTATCCGAACAGCAGGGAGGAAAAGGACTCCCTTTGCTCTTCTACAAAATGTTATTTCATTAAACTGATCTTTATTGATTTTTATCCCAAACTAATTACACCTACCAGGCGACGCGCACGAAGCATCGACTATTTTATTCACAACTTTGTCCAGCTCATCCAACTTTGATTCAAATATAAGCCCTGGTGACGCCAAACGCTCAACATATGGTCTCATACTTTTGATTTCGTCTTCATTTCCAGTAATCAAGAAAACAATGGTGATGTTTTTATTTTTGAGTATCCTGATATATTCATCTAAGAACTTTGTTTCATATTCTGACGCATTATACTTGTGTTCTCCATCGATTAACCACAAAATAACGTCGTCTACATCAGGACGGAAGTTTTTGGGACTGGTCTTGTTATGATCACCTTTAAAAAAGTTGATTTTTTCAATTGCATTATAAATTAATCTACAGTTTTAAGGACAAACAAACTTTCATCAATTATAACGTCAAACGATCGAGTCCCCCACTTGTACTCTTAAATCCCTGGGAAAACCTGACTAGTCTACAGGCGAAAAAACGACCAGGTTGTGGCAATATTAATATGGACAGGATTGGACAATGTTGTGTTCCTATTATTTTAGCTGTCTAATCCCTGGTTGCATGTGCATCCCAATTAATTCCTACACCACTTTTGTCAACTCTGTCAAAACGATCAACTTACGTTGTTTTGCAAGATGAAGTGCTTTTTTTACGAAGGTCGCATCACCATTCACATCATTTTTATGCTCAAAACTATCCAGCCACTGTATCAACTCTGTTTTGTTCTTAATTTCCCCGACTTTCAAAAATTTTCCAGTTCGGTTTGAAAGGGTGATAAAACCAAGATGAGTGCCTTGTTCCTCCACGCGCAGCTTTTCATTTTTTGATAACTTCTTGAGGAATTTTTTAGCTGTGTGGTAGTGCTTGGAGCTAACAGGATTGGAGCTATCCCAAAGAACAAGGATATTTTTTTGCAATCTGAAACTACATACGAAAGACGATCAGACAGAAACAGTCTTGGTCAGTTACCTGATCCGAGTTTGAAACCAGAATAATTATCGGAAGCCAGATTTATGTAGATTTCAATCTTCTCATAACGTTTCCATGACGGTAATTTCAGTCGAATAAGAGCTTGATTTTTATAGTGTTTTACCTTAAACTTTTCAAATTAATTAAGATAAGTAATAACAAAATTTCTATGTCACACTCAATGAGTCGGTGGATGAGCTTTTTGAATACACGCGTAAATCACTTGTTTCTTGAAAATATCTGCGTAATTACTCAAAAGGCAGATTATTTTTTATTTTTGCTTTTTACTGAAGTATTAAATACTCACGTGGTGTACCTACAAGCTAATTTACCTATTAGTTTGCGCGTGTGAGCATTGCAAAAAGAATAGTGAATGAGATACGAGATCGGCACTCCATTCAGAGCAATTGTACACGCTTTATTATATGAAGAACATGTGAACACATATTTATTGAAAAGTAATGATTGTGTAGTTTTACCTCTTGTGTTAACATCATCCTGTACCGTCTCTTCTTGGTCTGATTCTAAATATTTATTATATAGAACTTGTTCATCAGAGGACGGTTGTATAAAACTCTTTAACTACATTTTGCATTCATTTGTTAAATCCCAGTTAACTCAGAAAAAATACACCCGGGTATTTTGACAGAACATAGCGGAATTTAAAGCTATCCAAATTAAAGTTAATGTATGGTCGACTGGAAATATTCGCTGCAAGCATATTCGAAGAAACCCTTGTTTCTTTTGAAGAAGTTTATTCCCTGAAGACTACTGTTTTACGTAACTAAATTTTTAGCCGTTATTTAAGCTCTAAAAGTACATAAATTGTATTAAACTTCCTATGTCCTTCTTAATGCAGCTGAAAAATGCTGTTGATGTTTACTTTTGTTTTATGACTAGAATTAACTATATAACGGGGGACGCCTTCCCAGCCGTCATTCAGCCCCCCCCCCCCACTGACGGATTTATGAATGAGGTATTTTCCTTTTACAAAGCAATAAAAAGTTTAGAAACATGTAAAAACTTTTTTTCTTATATCAGTCATGACGCAAGATCTCTTTTAATTAATTCAGGGCCTTTGTCATAATATAAGCTTAGATTTGGCAAGCTCAGAAAATTGGTTTGTTTTATTGAAATGGGCGAGGAGTTACTGAATGCATGTCTTTCTAGTTAGAAAAATACTTACCACTGCCTTTACAGAAGCGAACATGGACCATAAAAATACATAGCACCTTCATTCTTCCATACAGGTTAAAGTTGTGCTTAATTTTGTTTAAACCAACAGGAAAACTGTGCGGTGACTTTACGTTTGGTTCAACTTCATAATAATTAATGTAGAACTTATGCGAGCAGTTAATTGTTGGTTTCGTCCAAGACACTGGCTCTGACATATTTCGGTAGGCAATGCGGTCTATATTTTGCTCTTTAAAATGACAAATGCATTTGCCTTCAAATAAAAGAAAAAGGATCGACTTTTAAACTGTACACAAATCAACACGATTAATAATAATTAGCGGCAATTTGCAGTCATAAGTTCTGTATGTATAGGTTTTGTCTCTGATTGGAGGTCCGTATTGGGAAAGTACGGTCTCAAAAACAGCGGGGGAAATGATTTCCTTTTTACGGACCGACTAAACTGGTAAATAATGATTTTTTTCTTGCGGTCCGAATTCACATTTTAGCGTTGGCTCTGTGCTTTTAATCGAAATCTCGCGCGCTCCGTGCGGCCTCATACAGTCATACGGACCGCTCGCGTAGCCAATCAAATTGCAGAAAACGCTAAAATATGAATTCGGACCGCAAGGAAAAAAAAATATATAATTTTAATCTTTTTTATTTCCCTGTTCAAAATGTACATTCTATACCCACCTTTTCAAGAACAGAATGTAGTAAGCGAACACATGTACACTTAATATTAC